GGGTGGATGGATGGATGGGTGGATGGATGGATGGGTGGGTGGATGGATGGATGGATGGATGGGTGGATGGATGGATGGATGGATGGATGGGTGGGTGGATGGATGGATGGATGGATGGATGGGTGGATGGATGGGTGGATGGGTGGATGGATGGATGGATGGGCAGGTGGATGGATGGATGGATGGATGGATAGAACTATGCTGTTCTTATCTCAAATATAGAACCATCCAGTCTGTGCAGGCTTTCACGCACTGCTTCTGTTTTATGTCAATTCTATTCTACTTAGTGGATAGGAAAAAATGCAAACCAGGTGATGGCGGCTCACACCTGTCATCCTAGCTACTCAGGAGGCTGAAATCTAAGGATTGCGGTTCAAAGCCAGCCTGGGCAGGAAAGGCCATGAAACTCTGATCTCCAATGAACCACCAGAAAACCGGAAGTGGCGCTGTGGCTCAAGTGGTAGAGCGCTCGCCTTGAGCTGAAGAGCTGAGGGACAGCGCCCAGGCCCAGAGCTCAAGCCCCACGCCTGATGGGGGAAAAAAATGCAAAATAATAAGACATTGTACACTAATGGGAACACATGGAAGAGGAAAATATATACTATAAACTTGGGCAAAGGGGATGTTAGTCACTGTATTTATACCTACCTGCTTTTTCCTTCCTTCCTTCCTTCCTTCCTTCCTTCCTTCCCTCCTTCCTTCCTTCCTTCCTTCCTCCCTCCCTCCCTCCCTCCCTCCCTCTCTTTCCTTCATTCCTTCCTTTCTCTCTCTCTCTCTTTCTTTCTTTCTGTCTTGGGGCTTGAACTCAGGTCCTGGGCGCTGTCCATGAGCTCTTTTGTGCTCAAGGCTAGCCCTCCACCACTTGAACCACAGCTCCACTTCTGACTTTTTTTGAGCGGTTTATTAAAGAGTCTCACGGACTTTCCTGCCCGGGCTGGCTTTGAGCCGTGATCCTCAGATCTCAGCCTCCTGAGTAGCTGGGATGACAGGCGGGAGCCAGCAGCGCCTGACACTCCTTGATCTTTATTCACAAACACACACATTTCACTGTTCACTCCTGCATGCCAGTTTCAGAATTGTGTGAAGCTCATTATTGGAGACGTTCAGATGTGAGTCCTTTACAATGGAATCCTTTGATGGCGCTTTCCCTGCTGGTCTTGTGTTGTGCATCCGGGTCTTTCCTGCTCACCCCTCACCAGGACCCCCTGTCCCCGAGTGCACGGCTCCAGGGATGGTTAGCTGGTCTGGGGGTGTCAGTTTCTCCCAGGAGTCTCTCTGCAGCTAAAAATAACCAGCCCTTTGCTAGCTGGTGAGTCAAGAGGTTATTTTTAATGCTTGGAAGGCTTGAATGACAGGTTGGCCTATTGAACGCTGCGACATTTTAGACCCAAAGTCAGCCGTTCTCCCTGACAGAGAACAAAGCCAGGATTGAGAGAGAGCGCGGCCCCGGCCCCATCTGGTCTGACCAGAGTGGCAGGTGTGTGATGATAACTTGGGGTGCGGGGCGACTTCCCACGCACCGAGATCTTCCAGTGACGTGTGGGGGAAGTGGGGTCGTTCAGCTGAGGGGGCTGGGTCTGCTGGAATTAAGGATGTCAGCTTGTAAGGAACCAGGCAAGACCAAAGTTCACTTCTGGCCATGCTGGACAGCCATCCACCCTGGTTTTATCTAATGGGGATACTGCTCTTTGTTCTGATTGGTTAGAACTTAAGATTCATGGTCCTGTGCCATTGGCCAATTTGAAAGGGGTGTTAAACCTTTCTCGGAGCAGGGAAGCAAACAGGAACTTGTCAGCGGAAACAGGTCATACCCAGTTGGTGCTCTCCCAGCTGAGCCATGCCTCCAGCCCCTAGAAATCAATTTCTTGTAATAGGATGTGGCTTAACTAAGTGATTTTTTTTCTTTTTGGCCAATTCTGAGGCTTAAACTAGGTGTCTAGGCACTGTACCTGAACTTTTGTTCAAGGCTACTTCTACCCCTTGAGCCACAGCACCACTTCCAGCTTTTTCTGAGTAGTTTATTAGAAATAAAAATCTTTT